AACATGTGCACCATTTTTCGGTTGTCACAGTGCGCCATTTTCTAATAGCCCTGGTCACTGGCTGCAGTGGAGCCCCACTTCTAAGCCAGGAAAACCCCCAAAGTAAGTCGAGGAGCGCAAGCCTAGATCCGACCCCCAAGGTTTCAGATCTACATCACTGGGAAGTATTCTGGAGACTGCACAAACCTTTTACAGTGCTCTACGACAGGTTTCTTCCAACACAGCTATACTGCAAAGCGCATGGGTTCATATCAGGGAGGGAGGTAGGGGATATCGGAGGAAACGTAGTGGCCAAGCAAAAAAAAAGAAGACAAATGACACAAAGAGAGGAGGAGAGAGAAGAGAGGGAGGTAGGAGAGAGAGAGGGCGGGGAAGGGATATGAAGACACCCACAGAGGGAGGGGGAGAGAGAGAGAGAGAGGACAAGGAGACAGAACGGAGAGAAGATGGGGAGACAATACGTCTTACAGTGTAGCGAAGATGACAGACGCCATCCCTACATTCCCTCCAGCATCGAGTATCGTCTTGGGATGGAAGTCCGCAACGAAGCTGTATTCTTGATGCTCAAAAAGCTGGCGAACGACGTTCAGATCGGAGGCGTTGGGACGTACGTACAATGGTAACAAACATTCATCTTTCCTGAGACAAGGAACCTCCTCCTGGACACTCATGATCATGCATACGTACTTCGCCCTCTTCTTGTCTATGATCTTCCATGCACTCCTCAAATTACGCCATTGCCCATCCAGCCAGAACCGCTTCTCCCTACTCTTCTTGCCATGAGGAAGGGAGATAATTCGCTCGATCTCTGAAGCATGGAAACCACACAAGTCCCTTTCCTTGTGACAAGCTGTTGAGGTGTCGCTACCTACTAGTACTCCGCTTACTCCTATTCCTCCAAATCCCACCTCTCTCCTTCGCTCTAGCTGAAACGACTGACAACCAACTTGAACCCCCGTGAGTGTGTAGCGGGCCGTCATCTTCACATCGCGAAGCAGAAGACACACAGAGAAGATAGCCGCAGCGGAGAAGAGGCAACACAGCGCGGCGATGCCGCTTTGCCAAGATGTTCTCCGTACGACTCCCATTTTCGACTCTCTGACTCCCTCCTTTCCTTCTCGTTAGCTCCTATTCGTCTGCCCAGCCTTTTTCTTTTCTTTTCCTAACAGAGAGAGAGAGAGAAGGGGGGGATAGATTTATCCCTGTCTCTTATACACATCTAGATGTGTATAAGAGACAGCTTCTGCTGAGGAAGATCAGGGCTATATACCAAAGCTG